AGGCTTTTTATATTTTTCAGTTATTTATTCTTTCTGCAGATCTGGGGGCCCACCTGGTGTCATTTTCCTTCACCCTGACGAGCATCTTTTAGCATTTCTTGTAGTAAAAGTCTGCTGGAGACAAATTCTTTTTGCTTTTGTCTCTTTGAATACTTTTACTTCATCTTCATTTGTGAAATGGATTTCCCTAGATGTAGAACTCCGGGCTGATAGTTTTTTGAAAGCTGGTGTTGCCTTCTGGCTTTCATTGTTTCCAGTGATAAGTCAGCCGTAGTTCCTATTGGTTTTCCCTAGTAGATGCTTTTTCTCTTTTCTGTGGTTGCTTTTAAGAGTTGCTCTCCCCCTCTTTCCACCCCCTGCCATTTTCAGCAGTTTAACTGTGATGTGCCAAGCTATGGGTTTCTTTGTATTTATCCTGCCTGTGGCTTATTGAGCTTCTGTGTCTGTGAGTTGAGGTCTTTGGTCAGCTTTGGAAAGCTTTGTCTATTATCCCACCACATACTCTGCCCCGTCTGCTTTCTGAACCTTGGTCTCTGCTTTGCACCCTAGCTGCCAGCTCTTTGGATTGCTTAGACATTTCCTTTGCTTTCCAGTACCACCTCAGGTTTTCTTTACCTCATGTTTTTCCCCATTTTCTTAGGAAGATCATCATCTGCCTTACTCAGAGTGCCTTGGGGAGGGGAGGTTATCTCATAATCCCTGTCTTGTCCTCCACCCTCAGAGGACAGCTGTCTCGGGCACAGTGATGGGTGCCCATTTGGTTCATGAGATTTTCTCTTAGCTCTCTTGCCTTGCCCTCAGACTTGCGCAGTCAGTGAAGACCCACGGGGAAGAGTTGGCAGGTGGGGCTTGTACCTGGACTTCCTCTGAATTCTAGTCCGTTACCTGAATCCACATGCTGTCATTAAAGTTTGTTTATAAATTTGGCTGGTTCTTCTTAATCTTGTTAGTGGAAAATTTCTTGTTCTCTTACCACTTTGCCAAGAATAAGAATAACCATGGTGTCTTGTCTTATGAAGGACTTTACAATTTCCGGAATTTATTTAGAATTCTTTGCATCATCAGCTTTCTGATGGGTATTTTAAAAACTACAATTTTCTGATTTACTCAGTTCATCATGGTTTATAGGGTTGAGAGTAATGGTGTCTTGCCACTTTATGCATCTCAGTCAGAAGTGGAAATTCTGAGCCTTTTATTAAATTTGCATTTCAGAGCTGCAAGAGACCATGGAAACCATGTAGTTTAGCTACATCATTTTCCTGATGAGGAACTGAGACACAGAAATGTGACATGCTTTGATTGCACAGCTAATTTAGCCACAGATCCTGGACTAGACTTCAGATCTCTTTAGTTCATGCCTGTTTGTTTGTTTTGCTTTAATATGGGTTTAGTGAAATCAGGCAGGAATTTTTCAACAGTGACAAACTGTAGTGTGAATCTGATAGGAGACTTCACACTAATTTTTATCTTGCAAGCTTTGTGCAGGTTTGGAGAAAATGAGACGTGAAAAGAGAGATGAGAAAGGATATTCCAGATAA